TTATCTATTAGCTAGTGTTTTGCGAACATGAGCTTTCAAATGTAACTAGCTAGATAACAACTTGATTTAGATTAGCGAGCATTTTTCTAACTAATAAAGTAAACACATATTCGGGACTGATTCTGACTTTCAGTCGGTTACATTCAATCCAGTATTGTTTCTCATGTTAATGGATCAATAATTAACAACTGTTACTTCATCATGTTTCCATCAGTGAGCTTTTAATCGGGACAATATGGAGGCGGAGCGAGCGCTCAGAGGTCGTTAGGTAAGCGGCGTATCGGGCCTCGGACGTAGCTGTCCGCTCCTGCCTCGGCCCCGAGCTCTCGAGTTAATGACTTCCTGTTGCTGCAGTGGAGTTTGTCACAGTTTGTCGTCGCCCATCAGGAACATGTTGACAACTCCTGTCGGTCGGCCCCTTCGCCTCGTCCAAGTTGGCAGGTGGACTACTTGTTGGCAGGTCTATTTCCGACCCCTCGCCGTGCACCGAATGGCGCCACGTTGGATGAGTGGCGTGCGTTGCTGAGTGCAGGTGCAACTGGGTATCTAATATGTGTGACTCTCATCATATGTTTTCCCACTTTGTCCATTTGGCTCAGAGAACGCTGACCTCTGCAACTGATGATCGCCGTTTCCTCCATTTTTGTTTCCTCCTTTTTAATGTTTTAATGTTTTTGTCGACTTATTGCGTGCGGTGTGAAGTAACCTTCTCTGACCTCGTTATTCCACGGTTGACTAACAGTAACTCAGTGTCCAAGGAGACGCAACAAAGTGAATGTGGATATTTGTTCTCTCTAGGATTTTAGAGTCTACATTTATATATAATATATATATTATAAAGGAGTCTTCTGGTGTCTTAAACGTGTATTCTATGTGATGGCCAGCAGGGGGCAATAAAAGGCAGATAACATGGAGTCTTATGGAGAAATTACCCGACTTCTCGCTTGATTTATGAGCTCGGTAAACAGTTTCCTAACGAGTTTATGATCTCAGTCTCTAGTTTAAAGTCTTCTTTCATACAGCATGATGTTCATTTAGTAAATTATGGTCCAAAATAGCCGATATAATAGATAAAAATATGAGTAACATGAGTGATCGTTCACTGGAGGCCTGTAAAAAAAGCCAGTTTGGTGTCAGATGGTCTCAAATTTAGCATATTAATTTCGATTAATGTGTTAAAAAAGAAACATTTATTTAATTTCAATACAAAAAATAAAGAAATAAAACAATTTATTGATTTTAATGCCACTTTTAAATATTTCTATTACTATTAATTTTTCTACTGTGTGTTTCTGAGTTCAAATATCTTAATTTGGGGGCTTTTCCAAGCAAATATTGATATTTGTGATTAAATTAAAAAAAATATACACAGTAGCTCAATATCTCAGTATTTGGTTCACTTTGTCAAAAAATAAGCTTATTAAGTTTGTTAAAAAATATTTTAAAAAAAATACATAATACAGGCAGAAAATTGTATAAAAAGTTTCCTAAAACAGGAAATAATCTGCTCAAAATTCATCCAAATCTCTAATTTTTTGGGTTTATTGTACAGTTTTGAATATAACATGAAAAATATCCATAAAATATGTCACTTTAAGGGTCGTCGCCCAGTGGATTTGTCTTGTTTACGGTCTGTCAGTCTGATATTAAACAATATGTAAACACAACATCAACATATTATTATCTTCAGTAATGAGCAGCGTTCGTACGGAGCCATATAAGTCCAATATTCACTCTTTTTTTAGCTGTTTTTGGTCTCCTTAAATACTAAATGCTCCCAATATTTTCACCAGCTAGTTGCTAATTTTGTCCGTCTGTTGTTTAGTGCTGAGCAGATAAAATACTGTGGGGTTTTTTTTAGGGCTTTTCCACTGAAAACATCTGTAAATCTTTGTGAAAGTGAACCAAAAACAGTAAATCCAGGGACCATAAAACCAAAAACAACAAGCTGAACAAACGCTATAAAGTCCCCTGTAGAGTTAGTTGTGCAACACATCCAAACATCTTTAAAAGTAACTAATTTAACATCTCACAGCGCCGAAGCCAAAACCTGTCTGCTGTGAAGTATTTATTGTGCGTTATCCTGAAACCAATACGGCGTTAGAGGATGATGAAAGTGGCGTGCAACGTGAGAGTACAGCAGATTAATGAACTAGTGTTTTGATTAATGTGAGGTGGGAGGAAGTGTGCCTTAAGTGAAATAAAACGTGTGATGTGGCGATTTCCAGATGACGTAACCGGCTCTCAAACCTCCCCCCACCCCTCCAAAATAAAATACCGCTATAAAAGACAGTAAAAAAGGTACAGTTTCATTGTTTCAGTAAGTGCAGTTGATGTGATCCCTGGAGATTATTCCCTGTGTGGATAATGTGGACTGACAGAGCTGTCTGCTCGGTTGCACGTCTATTGCCCCGGCGTTGACAGACAGACAGGCAGTCGACAGTATCTTGGGCCGCTTCCACTCGCTCAATCATAAAAGAGAGAGAGAGAGACAGGCAAGAGTTCGCTTTGCTGTGAACTTCCACGTTCCTCCTGAAGTTGTGAGGATTGTTTCTTTATTTACCAAACTCTTTGTGTAAGAACTCAGATTCATTATTGAATTATCGGGATTCATGTTCCCCGGAGGATGAATTCCTCATGATTTCTCCTCTTTTTCTATCCTAAAGTGACATATTTTATATTATATTCAAGACTGTACAATAAACAAAGCAGTAAGTTTGTGTACATTCGGATTATTTCCACTTTATTATGCTTTTTTTTTACTGTTTTCTTGTCCCAGACAGTTTACTTTTCCTCACATAAGTAAAACAGATGCATTAATATAGTCCCATGGTGGATATTCTTTAAGTTTTCTAGTACTTTTTTAATTCAAGAAGGCCTTGCAACCCCCTCATGAAGATTTGGCGACCCCTTGTGGGGGGGAGGGGAAGCAACGCTCTAGAGAATTTTCTTTTTAAGTTAGCTGAAGTCAGTTTGGAGAAAACAGAGACTGGCTGGGTAGTGTGTTAACATATTAGCTCACACACTGCAGCAGTTGTCACCAAACCTCTAGACCCAAATATTTTACCACTTTCTGATGCGATCTTTTTCTTTTCTACCAGAATCCAACTTTTGCCCCTCCTTCCTCCCCCCTCTCTCCCCCCTTTTGCTGTGTGTTTTCAGGCGACAGAGGAAGCCTCTCTGTCACACTGTGCTTTGCTTTTTTTTTTTTCAGGAGAGGATTGATGCGTCTCCCGTCTCTGTGACTGACAGACTACATAAACAGCTCAATGCGTGGCTCAGGGCTGTCTGGCAGCCTCCCCCTCCCCCCAACCTTGTGCAGGCAGAGGCTGTACTCACACTGATGTCCCGGGGGCCTGTGAGGGAGGAACGAGGGCCGGGGGCTGGCAGCGTTCTACGTACGCCTACACCCCTGATGTAGATACACAGTGTGCAAGCTGCTATTCTGAGGAGCGCATGTAATTTTGGCGCGATGTTCTCATGGTATTAACTTGTAATCTTAATTAATTCATGAACATTTGGACGCATTTCGGAAGCATGTGTGATGTTTCCAGCGATATGTCTCACAGCAAGTGTGTAATTCCTGCTTTGTGGTGCCCAGAAGGGAAGAAGACGGATCCAGCCAAATTATGAAATGCATCTAAAAAACACCACATATTTCTACTATATTAGTTTCCTGCAATGATTTCCTGAAAGTGAGGCAGCTTCTATAGTGCTTTCAGATATTCAACCTTCTCTCTACTCTCTTGAAAAGGTCTGTTACAGAGTTTCCTCTGGTGGTGAAACAGCAGGCGTGTGCCTCCATCTGCTGGAGAACATTTGAACACCAGAGCAGCTTCTATCCCTAAAAAATGACACCAAACAGCTGAATTTGACCTTTTCCACAGTTATTTTATGTCATTTATACCCTTTATATAATATTATATTATAATCTGGGGGTCATGGTTCCAACTAGGGGGTCTTCATGGTGGAGGCATGAGGCGTTTTTTCATTTTAAGGGGTGTAAGCTAAGTGCCAGGGACAGGAAAACACTACATTTGTCAAAAAAAAGAAGCCTTTTAATTATTTATGAGTGTAAAAAATTATTAAAAATGCATAATACATACAGAGAATTGTATAAAATGTTCCCTAAACAGGAAATAATCTGCTCAAAATTCATCCAAATCACTAATTTTTGGGTTTGTTGTACAGTTTTAAATATAGTATGAAAAATATGAATAAAATATGTCAATTACTCAGTTTACTAAATGATAGAAAAGGGGTCTTGTGAGGTAAAAGGTTGGGAACCAGCGGATTAAGGGACCCCTTTTCTATCATTGAGTGAACTGAAGACCCCATAAGTGACGTATTTTATGAATATTTCATATTATATTCGGTGTATAATAATAAAAGTAGATAAAAACTGATTGAACCCAAACAGTGAACACAATAACTGCAGTAAGTTTGTGTAAAACGAGTGATTTGGATTCATTTTGAGCAGATTATTTGTTTTCCTGTTATTTTTAGGAACTTTTTATACAATTCAGTTTCTTTTATGTATTTATTTTATTTTTAACAATCATACAAACTTAAAAGGCTTCTTTTTTGATTCATTCATTGTTCTATTGTTAGTGAATATAATTTGTAATAACAGTTTAATTTAGTTTCCTTTACAGAAATGAATGAACTGCTGATATGATAAAGTCCTACTGTGTTCACATTTTAAAGGTTTCCTTCCTTGTGACCCCTTACGAAGCTTTGGCGACCCCTGCTGGGGGTCGGGACCCACGAGGTTGGAAACCGGTGGTTTATAGTGAAGAACAAAGCTCAGAGTCTCAGTGAGGCTGCACTCAAACCTCAGGTTCAGACCAAAAAGTGCAACCAGGGCGAGTTCACGCCAACGCAACTAGAGGAGACGGCGTATCGTCTCCATAGTAACGACTCAACGTAATAACGGCTAGTTGTAATACTAAAAGACATTTAACTCCCTATTTTAGTTTATTTGTGCCAGTAAAGAGACATTTTCTCCATTACATGTGTTTTATTTTCTTTAAGCTTTACATAGAAAAACTTTTAAAGTTGTAACAAACAGAAACACCTTTAAAACTAGTTTAAATATGGTGAAAGAAACTAATTTTTTATCAAATTCATAAAAAAAAAGTTTGTTTTAAATGTTTTTTTTTAACTTCTTCCTGCTTAAAAATGCTTGAAAAATATATTTTTCCAAAAAATATACTGTATTTTTTGTAGTTTTTCATGAGTTTGACATGAATATTTAGCATTAACAAAAAAGACGTTAATGCTCCTCTACAGACAATTGATTATCCACACTTTGCATAATATAACATAGATATTAAAGGGTAAGTCACACACAATAATCAATATCAGACAATCACTTGAAGGACTTCAACGGCCTTCGTGAGTTTGGATTGGCTCGGGTCCGACCTGTTTCGACCTCCTTTCTCCGGCGAGCTCTCCGGCTGGCCGCTCTGCTGGTGGCCGAACTCGAAGCTGAGCCGAAGTTCTCCCATCTGACAGCGAGGGAGAACGTCGGGGATCCACTCGATCACGAACGGACTCGCCTCCTTCTGGTCTGCGGAGCCCGGTCCTGTAAATAATATATACGGTTTAATCCCTTAATAAGTGATCTTTAGGTGAAATTATGACGTTTATCTGTTAGATTTTGATGATATTTGTTAAATCATCTTTTTTTGTTGTTTTTGTGTGTTTCTTTAAAGAGTTTGTCCATTGTTAGTGTTTTATTTACAGAATATGTGCATTACGAGGTATATGGTGATGAGTAATGTGAGTATTTTTGCAAGAATAGCGACTGTTGTGGCTCCTAATAAACAAATAAACAGTCACTCGCCGACTTTGAGGAAGGTGCGGAGCTCCATCGGTCGTATCGCCAGCGGTCGCTCCGTCTTTATTCCGTCCTGTAACTGAGGTTCAGGCGGCGGCTCGGGGCAGCGAAACCGCGAATAAGAGCCGTTGGCGTTCTTTACGAAGCTGTGAGAGAGCTCGAGAGGCAACTGGAGGACACGCGGGGAGGTGGAGAGAGATTAATCTCACATAATAATAATAACTTTATTTATATAGCACCTTTTAAAAGTTTACGCATTTAAAAATACAGAACACCAAAATACAACGATAAGAGCAGAAGAGAAGCCGAAAAAATGTAAATAAAGAAATAAAAAATGGAAATAAAATAGAATAAAGTAATAAAGGCATCATCTTCAGTCTGGTTTTTAGACATAATCTACCTTAATTTATTGTATTTCTTTGTAGATTTCATTTTACTTAGTTCTGATTATATTTGTTATTTTTGTCTGCCTTCTTAATCTATATTATATAGTTTTTAGTAATCAAACACCATTGTTATACCTGTATATAACATGTATTGCCTTCATATTTTATCAGAGGGAAAACCAGACAATATTTTACCCTTTAAATATGATCCAGTTTCACCCAAAATCACTGATAAAGTTGTGTTTTTGTTCAGTAATCAATGAGCTCAGCCCTCCACAAACACTGTGGTAGTAGTTAATTAATCAATCTGCGCTCTGTGACACTGAAAGTTGAAGACAGAATGTTTAATTATTGGTTGTAATCAGTTCTTACGTAAGCATGTGTCACATTTTGTTTCACAGGAAGACAAAACTGTTGGATTTTGATATAAAAATACAAAGAAATTGAGCTTTTGTGAATATTTTTATCACACGTTGTTAAACAGGAAAACAATATAACTGAGGATGCAACTTTAAAGGGTTAAAGTGACATTTTTCATTTCAATTTTAGTATTTAAATTACTTAAAGCAAACATTCAGCTCTCAGTAATGAATATACACGGCATCCAACTGGAAACGTCTCAGCTCTTCAGCAGCGACGTTTATCGTATAATTTAAAGTTGTTTTGCTGACATTTGTCTGTGTTTTACAAGCATAAAAACAGCAGCTCAGCTGGATGCGGTAGCAGACGTGGTTTTGGTTGTCTGACAACAAAAACAGAAAAATATGTGGATTCGGCTGCATTGAAACACGTCCGCCGTTACTCTCAGGCTGCAGACAACCTCATCCAATAAGGTCAAGGAGCTTGGATGCACTCTGAGAGGTAAAAATCGGGCAAAAAAAGACGTTTTTATCAACTTTTATTGTCTTTTTGGCAGCTGGACTGTTAGAGGAACAGCTTTTGGAGAGGTTTTTACATTGAAAATCAACCTGAAACCTAAAATATAATATAAATACATATGAGAGTGAGAGAGGAAGGAGGGAGGGAGGGAGGCAGCGTTTACCTCCGGGGTGTCAAAGATGCGTTTGACCTGCATGATGTCGGTGATGTGCCAGGTGTACTTGGAGAAACAGCCGCTCACAAACGCTGACGTCCACAGAAAGAGACATAAAGAGAGAGAGAGTCGATATTTGTTCACTCAGATCCTTTATACACAATTAAAAGTGTTAAAATAATGATGTTAAAGTCTGGTTGTGCTGTGAAATGTCCCCTGTGACTGATTATTACTGTATATGAGACATTATTAGATTGTTAATACTGATACGATTAATGAGGGTTGAAAAGAAGTAAAAAATGTTCTGCAGCACAAATTTTGATTAATTTTTGTACCTTTTTTTGCTGAAATATTGAATCATTTTAACACTTTGAGGCTCGAAAAATAATTTTAAAAGAAACCCTCTGAGAAGTTTAATGGGGAAAATGTCTGTACACAGCACCTACTGTTTATTAACCAAAATACTAATAAACAGACCAACATATACATATATTTATGTATTAAAAAAAAGCTCCAACTAGACTCAAAAAGGTCTAAATGTTTGGTTGCTGCTTGCATTGTACTTTTTAAAAAAATATTCATATAAACTCTTAATCTGCAAAGTAAATACAGTTGTTAAAATATATAAATATTTCCCTCTAAACTATCACAATATTGTACTAAAATACTTTTATACACAAACTGCCTCATTAACGACGTCTCATTAATTCAGGTCAACATATTTTCTTCCACCTGTTGTGAAGTTGGGCAGCCTCTTCTTCTTGGAGCTCAGCGACAGACGCTGCTGCAGAGCATTGAAGAACTCCTGAGGAATGTGGTACACCAGAGGTTGAGGTTTCCCTGACAACAACAACAAAAAACAACAACAACAACTTGTCTTTAATTGTGTGCAACAACCAAACTAATCCTCCTGCAGAGATTTAATAACAGGAGACTCCTAACTGAAAACATCCAAATGCAAATACATTTTTACCAAAAGATGGTTTGTGTCATTTTATGTAGATTTAAAAATCATCAGACACATCTAAATCTTGAGAAGAAAGCTAATTAAGCGTATTTCCCCAAAAAGTAGAACAATTTCTTTAAAACCCAGTTCAAAATATGTGATTTTAGCCCTGATAAGTCGACTGTTTTAGGAGATTCCTGCAATCTTTTCTCACTGAAACAGCGCAGCTACAACAGAGGCAGAGGCGACAAAATGTAAAGTTTGTCCAGAATACAGTTAATCTTTATTGATTATATTGATGCCGAATTGACCAGAAGACCGTCGATAAACAGCGATCTTCAGCTCGTGTTTCTAGAGTCACGTGTTTTTACGGACACGTAAGGAACTGTTTAAATGTGCCATTTCTTAAAGGGAGTTTGGTGCAGGGAGCTCAAAACTCACTATATTCATCATATTTAACATTTCGTCACATCTACACAAACATTACGTAGCTGTTAAAGTCTGATAATGTTGTCTGACGTTAACGGATGTTAATTATTAGTTTGATTAATGGTTTAATAATGTGTGTATTGATTACTGGCGCTGGCTGATCAGGCTAATTATCACCTTGTTTAACTCAACTTTAACGCATTTTTTGCATGTTTTTCCAACTACTTTCTTTCTTAATTAAACATGTTATTAATGATGTTATTATTATTAATAATAATGAGACCAGTCAGTAAACAAGCTTCAGCTTTACCATCAAACTGGTAGTGCATCGTCTGGTGGATCCTCTCTGTGACCCCGGCCAGCCACTGGGGGAAGCCCATCACCACCGTACGCTCATCCACACCTGAACACAACACAAACGCTCGTTACCTGCTTTAATTCTCAGCCGACCACCCACCCACATATTTCCTCTTTATGACCTTTAACTAATTAAATGTTAAAATATGCTCCGCTACAGTGCGGGCCCCTGTTCTTTTAAAGCGAGTGGATGAGGGATTAGCACTGCAGGATTAGAGGCAGAGAGGAATGATAAAAGATAGAGACAGATGTCTAAGACGATGTAAAGCTTCTTTAACGGACAGATTTAGGCAGGAAAAGATGAAAAGAGAGAGAGAGAGAGGGGGGAGTAGTGAGGGAGGGAGGGCAGCACCTGGAGCCTTCAGCCCACCAGCACCAGGGGCTTTCCTCTGACCAGCTTTCCTCAGGCCGGAGGCCGACACTCCCTCTTTCCCCACCCCAGAAGGAGAGGCCACTGATGGGCAGGAGAGTAAAGGAAACGAGGGGGAAACAGAAAAGGAAGGACAATGAGACAAAAACAGAAGAAAAGTGATAAAAATGTTTGCAATAAAAATCAGTTAAAAGATGAAACAACCAGAGAGAGATTCACAGAGGCGGAGCTTCTTGGGCTGATGGTGGGAGTTGAGCGGTACGACCTGCTGCAGGGGCTTCTCGCTGGGCCCCCTGCTGGTGGAGGTCGGCTGCACGCCTGAGAGGGAGGAAAGACAAACGGGGGCCGTTGTAGCTTAGCTTAGCATAAAGACTTGAAACGGAGGGAAACAGTTAGCCTGGCAGTGTGAGATGATTGATAATCGTTGGTAAATGAAGACAAACCTGCAGTTCCTCAAACGGCCACTTGAGGCTTTTTTATAGGCAAATTATTAACATTAAAATAAAACGTACAAATTCTTAAATTTAGCTCAATAAACAAAACAAACAAAATGTTTAAATTTTAGGTCATTTTTTCTTCCGTTTGAAACGTTTTCGGTGGAAATATTTTTATGCTAGTTTGAAGAAAAATAATAAATCAAATCAAAGCAAGACAATATTTTTATATTTAAGAATATTTGGGGGTTTTCTTCGAGTATTTCGCGGCCGCCTTTAAACCCGGGTCTGAAGGATCGGTCGCCGTACCACTCGGGTTGTAGCTGATGAAAGCGGCGAACTCTGAGGCCAGTTTCTCGTCGCTCGCGAAGGCACACACGCAGGCGTAGAAGTGAAGGCAGGGTTGTGGCGTGAGCGAGGCGGGAGCGCTGGCGGATCCTTCAACGCCAGCTTTGCTTCTTCTGCCGCCGCCGCCGCCCTGACAGGCGCACTGGAAGACGCCCTGCGGCTGCTGCTGCTCCCGGCTCCTCCGTCCGCTCTTCGAGGCCTCCAGAAGCCCGTCGGCGCCCACGGTGAGGTGCAGCAGCCCCAGAGGATGCTGGGAATCCGTATGGCACTTCACCACCAGGGTGTCTTTTGCGACGCGCTGCACCAGGGGCCCCGGGGACTCGGTGGCGAGCGCCCACAGCTCCTCCCTCGCCTGAACGGACGCCTGCAGGCCCTCCAGGACGGAGCTCTTCAAGGTCAGCGGCGTGGCGCGGCTGCGGCACTCTATGGCTTGCTTGATGTGGACGCAGAGGCTGTCGGACGACTGTTTGGAGCCGCCGCCGCCACCGCCGCTGCCGCCACCGCCCGCCGCTTCTGCCTCGCCCTGATTTGACTTGTGACCCTGCCTGCAAGAGGGCAGGAAGCAGCGCCCCAGGTTGATGCGGGTGAGCAAGGTGGTGCCGTCGCCCGTGGCGATGGCGGTGTCAGTGGGAACGAGTTCAACGAAGCCGAGCTGCGTCGCCGTGGCTCCTCTTCCTCTGTGACACACCGAGAACACCTGCACGCCTCCGCCGGCGCCGCCGACCAGGACGCCCTCCTTCCCCTCCCTCTCCTCGCTGTCTATTATCACCTTCACCACCTCCACGGCGCTGCTCTTGCTCGCCGCCGAGGCGTTCCTGAGGGAGATCCCACAGGCCTTGTTCTTGCAGCTGAGCCCACGGGTGCCGTTGTAGACGCCACACTGCGGACACTTCCGGATGCCGCGCAGCGTGGCCCTGCCCAGGTTGGAGAGGAAGGCGGGAGTCGTGGACGTGGACTTCCTGCTGTCGCCCTGTTTTGCCGCCAGGTTGGCGGGGGCGGTGGAGGCGTGTGCCGCCGCGCCGGGTGAGGAGGACAATTTCACTTCAGTGTCCATTTTAGGAGTTTTAGTTGGAAGTGAGGGGCGTTCAAACCTTAAAAAAAAAAAAAAAGGGGGGGAGGAAATATATAAATATGTGGAAATGACAGAACTTCATATTAAAAATAAATAAAATAATAAAAAATTAAATCACACAATTAAACTTTAATCTAAAACACATCTTTTTTTTTTTTTTAAAGGGGGGTTTAGTTTTGCAAACACATTATAAACAGTTACATCCTGCTTCAAAATGTCTCATGCATGTGTTTAACTACCTCCCCGTAAACGCACCATCCGGGTCACACGCCACTGTACTGACTGTAGTTTTTTAAAACGGGTCTTTAAACTACCTGCGATCCGCTTCTGTTTGGTCAAATCCAGCTCGACTCTGGCCTCCAAAACCGCCTCGACCGTCGCCATTCCTCCTTACATCCCGACCGCCGCATTGCGCCTGTAACGACACTCCCGATTGGTCGGAGGCGATCACGTGGGCGGGCAACGGTGGGCGGTCTCTCGCTGGGAGCGCTGCATCATGGGAGGTGGAGTTCGCGCCGGGGTTGGAAGGTTAAATGCTTGTTTTTTTTTTTTTTTTTAGGATTTTGGTGTTTTTAAGAGCAGAAAATTGAGAAAACTTTATTATAAAGTGTTAACTGCCACTATGATTGAATTATTATTATGGATTTTGTATTGGATTATACGTTTTAGGTACTGTTTGTAGTCTCATGACACTATTTCACTACATTTCAGAGGGAGATATTTTACTTTCTTCATTACATTTATTAATCACTCAACAAATGAAGCTTCTAGCATTCAAAACATGCAGTGATCTTATAAAATATTATGTTTGGTTATAGATTAAATTACCCAACAGCACATCCAAGTACAGCTGAAATGATTAGTCAATGAATCAATCGACAGGAAATTAATTACCTAACTATATAGATAATTGTTTCAGTAATTTTCATGTTTAAAGCTTCTCAGATGTAAATATTTGTTTGCTTTCCTACAAATAATTTTAATTAGTTTTTAATTCATTTTGTACCATTAGTTGAACAAACAACATTATGAAGATAATAATTATAAACAGATGATTGTAGATTATTATATAAATAATACACCAAACATCCTCCAGCACCGGCTTTATTCATCTCTTTAGAAATAATACTTATTGTATTTAGTGCTAATTAACAAATATTAGTGTGCTGGATGGTAAACATTATACCTGTTCAAGTTGATTTGAGTTTTCAGATGAACATCTATTAAATTAACAGTTAAGTTATAGATCAGAGGAAAGCAGCAAACCCTCACAGTAAAGACGTTATAACAATTAATCTATTATCAAAATACCTTCTAAATAAGTTAAGTTAATATCTTCGGTTTCGGGGAAAAAAAAAAAAAAAAAAGCCAACCTTTGAAGAAGTCAGTTTGGGATTTGGAACATTTTAGAACAACTTTTTGACATTAAATGACCTAAACTGATCGATGAATCTAGAAAACAATCAGCAGATTAGTTGATAGTGAAAGATATTGTTAGTTGTAGGCCTGAATTTTAGTTTTTTTAATGGCTGATGCAGATATTTAGAGATCAGGGCTGCAGATATAATGCCAATATCTGATAGATAAAACTATTATATGCTGCAGGGAGGTCACCATCTTCCCAAAACTCTCATGGATGAGCACCAACATCGTCCCACAGCAGCCACACTGACGAGGGGAAACCCAGACGGACAACCAGCCCGTCTATCACGTTCAAAACACGATTCAAACAGTGTGAACGGACGCTGTTTTAAGCATCAGCAATTTAATGGGACAAAGCAAAAACTCAAACCATGTTACTGAAGCATCAACAGAAACTTCCCTCGCCAAAAAAAAAAAAACCAAAAAATACTGAAAACATTCTTAGGCACCGCCTACTCTCGGATGATTTTTATTTATTTTTTTGGTTAAATTAAAAAGTAACTCACTTGATAATAAGGCAACACAACGGATGTTTGTTTTTCTCCCCCAACTATATTAAAAATGACGGTGGCCACAGTGCAAAAAAATCTGATCACGAGGTTGTTTCTTAATCTATAAAAACAATCGTTATTTTAGGTTTTTAAAACAGAATAACTTAAATTATGGATTACTTGTCAATCGAAAGGCTTTTTTTTTTTTTTTTTTTTCCTTTTTCTTTTTGCACTGCATAGCAATGCTGCATGTCCCTCCAAGCCTCTGGAAGAATCAAAATGTTGCTCTCTACTGTACACGGATCAGCTCTGGACAGGGATGCTACCGTCAACCAGCTGTTCTCTGGAGCGAAAGCACGCGTCCTTAATTAAACATGTCGTCTTTATACAGATTCAGTACAGACTGTTACATAAAACAGGAAAAATTACAAAAGAAAGTGGAATGCAAAAACATAAAAACAAAAAATAAAATAAAACCCCCTTAGTATTTCAAATTTTTGTGAAAGTATTTGTGCAATATTCGTCTGCCTATAAGTAAGATAAGAGTGGCAGTAATCCCTGCAATTGGTTTTATTTGAGATATTGAAAATCTAATTTTTAAAAAATAAAAACTTGACAGTTGACAGCCAACTCCATGTTTTATAAAACAAACATAAAAAGGTCTCACATGTCACGGAAAACATCTCTTTATAAAGACAGTCCCGAAATTAAACAACAAAAAACAAAAAAAGAAAAGAAAAAAGGCAAAAGCTCTTTATACAATGTCAGCATTTTAAAGAAAGAAAATTACACTTGAAAATGACGGCGAAAGAAAAAGATGGCGTAGTCCTTTTTTCCTGTTTCAGGGGAAGAAGAAGAAGAAGAAGAAGAATTGGACGTTGTCTTGTGTGTGTAAAAGCATCAAAGTTCATGCACACACGCGAGCGCGCACACACACACACACACAGACACACACACACACACGCACATACACACACACACACACACCTCATCCACATACTGGATGCTCGATCCGTTCGGTCCGTTTCCCGGGAGACGAAGGTAAAAGGAGCGTTGAATATTTGTTTTATTAAAACTCGTGTTTGTGGCGTCCGCCGTCCCCCTCGAACCTGCCCGCCTCTTACTCAGTGATTTCCTACGTTTCACAGAATGACCTCGACAACACCCTGAGAACTCGCTTCGGACTCGTTTCACTTTAGTGAGCAGGTGGAGACCGACCAGAGCGGGGAGAGGTTTTTCAAATTGAGACAGAAAACAATAATAATAAAAACCACACCCCCCTCCTTTTTTTTCTCTCTACTGTGGACTGTTGAGTTGGTCGCCTCTTCTCCCCGTCTGATTGTTAAACATTGGTATAAAATTCTGCCCTTGCTCTTTGGCTCTGAGGGGCTGAAAACAAAAACCAAAAAGAAAAAAAAAAACCTGTTGTTTTATTATACAATTCATTAGCTGAACATTTCCTTTGCTTTTTAAACTAAAACGTGGCTGTGCTAGAAATATCTTGACACGGTCGTATAATTTACATTTTGGCCGGTTATCTGCAGGCATTACAAAAATACGCCAAACAATAAAATGGGCCCGGGGAATGCAAGGTGCATTAGCGATGGCTGTTAAAGTGTTCTGGAGTTGGGTTTTTTTTTGTTTCGTTTTATTTCTTTACACTTGCAGATTTTGGGCAGTGGGTGACGTTACGGGCCGGCAGAGTTGTTAAAAAAATGGCGTACCAGGCCTCACTAACAGAATAACTTGTGTGTGTGTGGTAACAGAGAGAGCACATCTAAAGCGCTCCTTTTCCTCCCCAGCAGAGTATCATCCTTTTTTTTTTTTTTTTTTTTTTTTAAATAGCGGCCACGAAGAGGCTCGGAGAGGCGCTACAGCGGTCGGTGATCAGTGGGTGTGGTAGCCGGCGGTGCTCATGCCGGCCTGGTTGGTTAGCACCGTCCCGTTGACGCCCTGCGCGGGCTCCACCATGCCCCCGTTGCTCACGGCGCCCACACCTGTCCATCCGGCGCCGGCGTGTAAATGACTGGAAAACAAGACAGAAACAAGTTAGCCAGGTTATTCTAGTGAAAACTAAAAGCTAAAACTAGGTGTGAAGAATCAATTTAAGCAACTGAAATTAAATAAAAACTCAACAAATGTGAGGAGGTGTTTGGTCCATCTGTTGAGAAAGGGAAGTCTACATGGAGTGTGAGTCAGCGTGTTTGTATTGTAATGTCTATTCTGAGCTTAAAAAAAACACTTCAATTAATAAAAACTAAACATGTTTAAACAATTTAAACTAAACTGAAATGAGCAAACCCACTTAAATAAACAGAATAGAAATAAAAACTAATGAAACCATAAAAGGACACAGTGATTGGAAAGCTATCAGACATCAACAAAGCTAAATGTACTCTTAAGTGGGACACGAACTGAAATCTGTTTCTCATACATACATAAACTCCTCCTAAGCACTTTGTTCAGCCATCGGACGGAAATATCTGCCATCAGCTATAAAAATAAAAAGTCTCGCTGAAAACCAGCCACAGAAATAAGAGGTGATTTCCACACAGGAGGCTGCTGATCCCTGACGATGAGTTCAACTATTTAATGATGTGTGTGGGTGAGAGGAGAGCCCCGAGGGGGGGAGGGATGGGAGGAGAGACCTTTACACTCTTAAGTTTATAAATACAATTCATCCACGTTTGCTCGCACAGGTTATTATCCTTCTGGCAGTTCGCAAACAGCTTCAGGTGGTGGAGACGGACTGTAATCGAGTTGTAATCTGGCCAAGAGAGACGAACATATCTGTCTACGCACCAGGACGCTCTGAGTTTTTGGGGTCTTTTCTTTTTCATGCAGCCTTATCTAGCTATTCTTAACAACAGTGTGTATTAAATATTAAAATTAAGGAGACGAGAAAGAGCCGATTAATTAAATTGAAAGGCAACATGTACGAGAGTGTATCCCACAGAGTGTAACTGTGGTTTATTTATATTTCTAGTAGGTAGTTTCTTATTTCACCCTTTTAATTATACTTTAATTCTCCACCTTATTTCAGTGTTTATTCAGAAACCACTTTAATCTGCTCCCCTCAGGACAAAAAGGCCCAGTTATTGTCTCTAGCAAAGCTATTTCCACTGCTCAGCACATCCCTCGCTCTCCATCGCAGCGAATGAAGCGTAAATACAGCTGCGACTGCACAAAATAGTCCAATACTCAGTTATTAAACAAGGCGGACATCCACACTGTTGCTTGTATCACAAAGCGAGTGAACGCCGTTACTAAAAGGGAAGGCAAAGGCCGCACAATAAGCATTAGCTTACGGCAAGGGCAGCCCACCTTTCAGCAACATGTCTTTAAAAACCCACCGATAAACACTGCGGCAAATGTACAAAACTAACCAAAACAAGAGATCTGCTCGTCAGCTCTTATCCTTTTTCAAATATGTGTCCATTACTGTGAGTTAGCACTAGCTGGCTAAATGCTAGCAGGCACATATGATATAGATATTTCCCCCTTAAATCTTCTGAAGAGGTCGAACCCTGCCAGCTCCCACGCTGCTATAGGGAATGTCATTAAATTTAGCCCCGTAGTTAAGACGGTAACTAGAGATAAAACAGATTTACGGAGGAGGAAGAACTTTGGAAACAACATGTTGTCGCATTCCCTCTCCCCAGCTGTTCCTCTCCGGTACTCACTTGTAGCCCTGCTGATCCCAGGTCTGCCCGTAGACTCCGTAGCTCGGCACCTGCCATCCATTGGGCACGTATTGACCAATCTGCTGCGTGTTGCTGTACCACTGACCCCACTGGCTGTAGGGCTGCGCCGCCGCAAAGCTCACCGTGTTCTGCTGACATATGGAGGAAATATTTCAGGACGCGGGGGAGTATCACATTACAGCACACCGAGGAGCTCACAGGCAAAGGGACGAGCACTGTAGCAGCCATACGTGGGGGTTTCATGTAATGTTAAGGAGGCGATTCTGGTGCATACCTGTGGCATCTGAACTTGCTGTATGGGGCTAACCATGTCTGTTGTTTCCTTGCCCCAGTAACACTTAACGACATAGCCCTCTATGGATGTGCCGTTGACAGAAACAATGGCATGAGCTGCTGCTTCATGGGAGTTGAACCTGCACACACAGAGGGAGAGAGGGGGAGAGAGAGAGGGGGAGAGAGAGAGATCTCAAGTCATCCTGCACATACGTGAGGTTAATATGCGACTGTTGAGAGTCAGCTTACCTCACGAATGAGTAGCCTTTGTCTGGGAAAACGCGGATTTCCATTATTTGGCCGAAAGGTGAGAAGGTCTGTCTCATAATTTGCTCTACAAACAAGAATAAAAAAAAAAAGTTAATATTCCATGTTTTTTTTAAAGTAGTGCTTTTAAACCTGCAGTGTAATGTTATGGAGAAAAGTAGCACGACTCACCCGTGAGACCCATCGTGACTCCCCCGCAGTAGACGGTGCAGTTGCTGGGGCTGGACTGGTTGACCACCTCATCAAAGGATAACTGCTTGGTACTGGTGGCTAAAGGGGAAAATAAGTTTAGATATTTTATAGGAAGGTGTTGAAGTCAGTTGACAGTTATAATAAAGAAACATACACCATCATTATTTATGTTCTCAGTCACAGCTGGAAAAAGGTAGTTAAGAGTTGTTGCTTATGTCATTAGTTTTACTGTTAATTGTATTTAAATTTTGATTTGATGGGGGTATTAAGAGGAAGATCAGAGGATCAACAGTTATTACGATTGATCCTGATAATATGAATTTCTGTATAGAATTTAATGGCAATCCATCCAATAGATGTTGTGCATCCCCTGAACTGAAGAGGGCTAAATATAGTCAGGAATCTCAAGGAAACACCCCCAAAAAAAGTCCTGTTTCTGGGAAATTTTGCATTAAAAAGGTGATTTTGTTTTCAGAAAATATATCTGACTTTGTCTTAATGAGATATTACAGTTAATATTGAGCTCGATTCAACCAGTAACAATGGTTTGTATAATATCCCAGCAGAGGAACGAGAGTTCCCAGTGTTGGAAATGAAGCAGCTGTTTAGTTTTTTCATTGTTTTAATAAAAAAATTGCTAAAAATAAGAAGCTTCTGGTGCTTTCATGAAGATGAAGTCACTTATTTTTTATTATGTTTGAAGAAAATGTGTCTTACTGTAAGTTTTTAGATTAAAAAAAAGGGTAAAGATTCTTGAATTCAGCTCAATAAGGTGCACAACTTGATTAAATTTGGGGCATTTTTTCCAGTTTTAAGCCCCATTAATGTCGTTCAGTAGCTATATTTTCAAGTAAAACCGATTTTTTTTGCTCAATACAAGAAGAATTGTGTTTTTTTTTTACAGTGTGTTAACTTACTTTCATTTGTAGTTTTAGGAGCAGGCTTCCTTGTGGCCCAGTTGGTCCTGATCTGCCTCCCTCCCAACCACTGTCCTCCCATCTGCTGTATGGCGTTCTCCGCATCCTGATTATAAACAAGAGCAAACACACAAACACTCCTGAGTCACCAAACAAAAAAAAAAAAAAACACCACCTCTCTATAAACCCTGGTTTTCAACAATCAGAACCTACTAATGTTTTCTGTGTCCTCTAACACACGGCCCTTTATTGGCACACTTACCCATTTGTTGAAGAAGGAGACAAAGCCATAGCCTTTAGATTTACCTGTGGCCATGTCTTTCACCACTCGACAATCCCTACGGACAAACATAAACACGCAGTCAGTCGAGGATTTCATATTATTAAGAAAGTACCTCGATGATAATGTTTAATTTATCGTTTAACTGGAGATTAAAAGGTGCATATATGCTGCATGGTAGCGTTATTTTATGTTATACAACAGGATGATTTCATGGAATTAAATGCAAAGTATTTTGTGTGAATCTAAAGCCAGATATATCCTCTTCCTCTGAGCTATAGAGCTTTATTGTTTATTAAAAGCACATCAGTGAGCCACACTGTTGCACTGGGTTCATTAACATGAACACACACACTGTAGTTTGTTTTAAACACAATCCTGCTGCCACAAATACGCACTATAGCACCAAATGTGGATTAATCCGCCTCTAAAAGTAGTCCTCAATAAAAGGCAGCATGTACTAGGCTGCAGGTTTCGGTCTTTTCAAAATAAAATACACAATTAAAACAGACTAATAGCGATCACGTGTAAAACACTTACGATATTTTCCCAAACGGAGCAAAAGCTGCTTTTATGTCATCTGTGGTAATTTCAGGACTTAGATCTCCAACAAAGACATGGAAGTGACCTAAAATAAAAACACACACACATTCACTTTAATACAAAACAATAATTTAACACAATAAAAACGATTAAAAAAAATAATAAAACCTTCCCTAACTGATGCTTTCCTTTATCCTTTAAACATTTTACTGGTTTTAATGAAACAAGGGTCATACACTTCACTCTTAATACTACTTGCTTATTTATTTAGTATTTTATCTGTTCTTATAGTAGTAGAACACACACACACACACACACACCCCTAATAAAGTCTCAGTACAATCAGTTCTGTGTGCGGTGGCTCATTCTGATCTATATGTAAATTTATATATTCATGTAAATACCTGTCTACAACCTGTTCTCAATACATTTACTACCTTACTGCACAACCTCTTTACACATTTATAGTCCTACATATCAACTAAAACTGCACTATTTCCTGTCTTAGAGGCTAAATTTGCTTCTTCTTTCTTATACTTATTTGCATGAGCAATGTCGTTTTGTTCCCTAATGTTACGTATATAGTATTGTATCTGGACAACATTATAATAAATTCTACCTTTAACCTCGAAGGGAGGAACCATTTTCCGAGCATAAACTACGCTAAACCTTGAGATAATTGATAATACTTACTGCTTGTGTCTTTCTTTTGGCTGGTTGGCGTCGTGGCCCAGTTGACCTTGACCTCCTGCAAGAGAGACAGTTGCAGAGAGCGAGGAAGAGGACAAAGGTGAGAAGTGAAGGTACGAATGCAGAAGAGAGGAAGGTGCTTTTTCTTTGATTAGAGGTTTTGTCACACACCAGTTTTACTTAGGTTATATTTTGTGATTGAGAACTTTTTCTTTTTTTTTTAATAAGGTGGTCTCTTGGGTTCAAGTACAAATGTATTTATCCATTGTTATTATCTAATTTTACATACCTTTGCATTAATTAATTAAAAAAAAAAAAACAGTAAAATACAGTGGAGAATATATAAAAAGGGATATCAAGATTTCACCTTCATAATCAGGAACATTTCAGTCTCAGTCTAGTAAAAAATTTGGAGCAAAACTGTAGGAAGTAAGGTCCAAATAACAAGGGACTTACAAACAAGTGATTTTTACGAACTTGTTATACTCCTCAAATGGTCCTTCAATACCTGTTGAGGATAAAATATTTTCAACTGAATGTATTTTCTCTCCAAGTTTGCTCTTATGTGGATTCTATGTGGAAATAACTTTGCAAAAGAGAACACATAGCAGTAAAAAAGATGTAGGGCCACAGAAGAGCATCAATTAAAAATAAAAAAAAAGTTACACGTAGCAATGATTACACAGCAGGGCCATGTTAAATCAATTCATACACAGATGGCAAAACTCACTCAAGGAAAAACTCTTAATTAAAAGCAGAGACAGCATGGCGAGCGACAGTGACAATATAGAAACAACCCAAACATCACTTTGTTTACACCCTAATAGGTATGTTATCTAATACAGAAAAAGACGGCAAAAATATGGCATTTAAAGTGTATTAAGTTCAATATTTGTTGTATCAGTTCGCACTATTACAACTAAACCTGGAAAGTCAGTTCATCGGGGCTTTAATTACATATTTTTTCAAATGTCTAAAATCTAAAAAACTACTTCTGATAATAGATTTCAAATTATGTTTAAGTATAAATGCAAAGAAACTGGTTCCAGTTTCTCTAAAATAGGGAATATTTGCTGTTTTTCTATCATATTTAACTAAATATTCTTGATTTCTTAAACTGTTGGTCGGACAAAATAAGACACCTGAATATGCCACCGGGTCTTTTTCACTATTTTATACCTCAAAACAATCAGTAATCCTAATGATTGCTGGCTTCAGTTGATTTCAAAAGGCCCTAGAGTGCAAAACTTTTATTAAACAATTATATTGTTACACACATCAGATATTGTGCAGTGATGAAAAATAAACATTACTGAAATATTCATAGCTTCAGTTTCTGTGGGAAACATGAGAAAAGGTCTAAATTCAATCATAAATTATCAATATTTAATCAACTGAACTGAACCCTTTGTAGAGGAATGAAAACAAAAGCAAAAGACACTTTCACAATCTTTTTAGGCTACTTTTGAGAGGGACTAAAAACACATAAATAAGTCCAAACACACACTAACAATCTAGTAATCTGATGGCTTTTGTGTTTTGAATCCAGGCCAAATCAACTTGATGGAGTAGCTACTGACATGTGTTAATACCAAGAGAAAGCACGACACCGGGAAACAAGTACAAACAAAAACCCAAAAGCTCACATAGTTGAGTACTCAGACGTTAGGTTTTTTTTTTTTTTTTTTTCCCTGGATACTTCACAGCAGTGAGGTTACAGAGTTCAGTGTCTGGTTGTTCCCACCCTGGTCATTTCAGACTGTGCACAGAAAGAATAAAGTGCACGGGGGAATAAAACAAATGAAATGAAGTGGAGCAGGAAGATACGGTTTTTAACAAGATACAAGTTGTTGGTTTTTCTTTCTCCCCCTCCAGCCGCTTCATTTGAACCCTGCCCACCCAAGCCTTGCCCTCAGTTGACTCACCCAGGAGATATGATTGCTTACCTTACCCAGAATTTTCCGACCATTCATGGCTGCAATTGTGGCAGTGGCATGTCTATGCTCATAGAACTCCACAAAGCAGTACGGATCATGACCTGCTGTCTGGAGTGGACGGGAAATACAAATATTAGTCCAACTGAAACCACATTTAGTCCACAACATAACATCAACGTGTGTGTTAATAGTTTATTGTTAAAGGAAAAAAAAGGAAGAAAAAGGGGGGAGGGAATTTGTGGAAAACATCAGGAATGCCGTCTGCGTTTTGATTGACAGGCAGGCTGCAAGAGTGCCGGCGTTATACCGCAGGGGCGCGAGAGGCAAAGCAAATAAGCTGTAGTCTACATGTCACGGACAAACGGCGTCTTGTTAGTGCAACTGAAGAGCAAGAACCACACCGGCGTCGAACCGGATCCAAGCGACACGTTTACATGCCTTTTAATAAGCAGCTAAAGAGCACTTCAATGGTTCAGGGAAAGACGTTTGTTGGTGTTTATAAGTTATATAAAAAGGAGGAGACTTTAGCAGGAAAGCTAATGTGGCTGACGTTACCGCTTTATGTAAGATGCGATGGGCTGGATCGAACTACGGTCTCCATTAGGACTGTTTGTGGTGAAGAAATTTCCCTTTGAGGATTTAAGGTGGCTCAACACTTATTGTTAATTATTACAGCAGGTTTCTTCTCAGTACCTGTTTGTACTACTCTTCCTCCACTTGCCTCCTGTTAACTGTTGACTTTAAGTTGAATGAAAAATCTCATTGGACCGAAACAATGGCACGCTGCGGGACGCAAACGGCACAGTTGAGGTGAATTGGGATGGTAAGCAAGACTGCTGGTGTTTCCAGAGCGAGCGAGGCCGAAGCTACGTCACTTTCTCCATCTATTATCGCAACAGCCTCCACCTACGTACGTGGATACAGGAACTTCCGTTAAATTAACGCAAATAGGGGGCGCCATCATGAAACCAAAAATTATAATAATATAAATTTTAATAAAAGAGGACACCGGAGTAGTGATTTACAGAGCTAAAAAAAATGCTATTTAATTTCAGTCGTACTGTAATTCACTGTCGCTATTATACAACCCGAAGTACATATAATGATGTCATCATTTAGCATTAAAATGGGAGGCTGCAATAACACTATAATACTTCAATGTAAAAATAGTTGTGGCTTAACAAGACGAGACATCCGCAGAGATGAGTAAGCGACAAAATGGGATCACAACGTTCGGATACGAGGTGTTTATGTACGAGTTCTCAAAGGGAAAACTGCTGTTGTCCTTGAGGTTTAACGCCAAACGGGAATGTTGTGTTGTAGCCAAAGCATCTCTTCGGCCTTAAAAAAGAAAAAGGGGGGGAAGCATCGACACAGAGTGAGAAAGATGACAAACCGACTTACATCTACTATCATTTTACAGCTCTTGCAGGGTCCAATTTGGCCAAACAACTCCAAGATGAGGGCCTCTGTCACGTCCCTGGACAGATTCCCCACATACCTGGATGGGAAAAGTGGACAGAAGACACAAGACGGGACTAATTACTGCTTTGTGATGTGCTGAAGCAGCCAACATCCAGCCCTGTGACTGGTTGACTAGTTCCTGAGACACTCGATCAGCAGGATCTGATTGGGTTAGGCTGTTAGATTGTTTTCATTTACACACACATGCCTGTGCACATGGCTTACGGGGTGGTTGCCTCGCTTGTGTTTTGTCTTTTAAAGTGCGAGTAGAGTACCTGGTCTCGTTTATCTTAATTGTTCGCCTCTTCAAAATAAAAGGCTTTACCTGTCTGATAATGACGCTTCCCTTTCCTGTAGGGTTTTTGGGTTGTAAAAAAACACACACAAAAGCATATTTATGCAACTTTTAAGACATTTCAACCCTCCTCCTCCTCCTCTCTTTAATCTCCCTATAATATAACCTGCTGCTGTTGTCTGGCAGTGTTGCTAAAATAGACTATAACGGACTCCAACGGGGACTTTTTACCATAAAGAGCCCATAAAAATGTGTTTAAATGCCAAAATCTCACACAAAAACACAAAAACAATAAAAACAAATAGATACCAGCTCTCAGGAATATGCAGATTTCCAAATCCCCCTTCATGAGTCATGTAAATTGAAATGTCCAGACAGCTCTGTCGCCTGTATTTAATAATAAGCTCTTCAGCTAAACATAGGGTGCAGCAAGGGACAACTCGCTAACATTATTACCTTATCCTTACATCACTGCTGGCTCTAAATAGATTTAAGTTAATCTTAACCTGGTAACAAAAATAACTCGTTTTTTAAAATTAGCATATATTAACATTCAGTTACTGGTATCAGAAATTCATACAAATAAGGAATCAATGCCGTCCTTTGAACTATTATTATTATTTAATTGAATATTATTAATTATACTTGTTTATTATGAATTATTTTCCAGCGGAATTTTACTATATTTCGTTTGAACTGCATATTTCTGTTTCTCGATGCTTAAATAAAAGGTTTAATTAAATAATTGATTGATTAATATCGTTAGGCTTTTTTTTTTGCAATCATTCTATCGCGAGTAACGTTAATTTAGCGATGGCACACCAGACTCCATAGAAAAAACAGGCAATTTAGTGTCCTCCTGCTCATCGTCAGACATACTTGCGGTGCAAAGCGATGTCTGATACATTACGGCTAATAAATACAAGTCCCTATTTAATTCGGCACACACAAAACACGCACAGTAGCTTTTAAATCAAACACAAATACAACTTTAACACCGGTAAAAAAACGATGCGAAGCGACGCGTTCATTTGAGATTCTTCTGGAATTAGCTCGCTGGCTAACGAGCCGAAATTGCCCAGAGAAAGGAGCTACATGTATTTCAGCTTTTAAATGAAACCGCGTTAGTTAGGCTCATCGAAACCCGGCGCAGAAGCACACACAATTATTGTATTTGAACAGAAATAGAAGGTACAATCCCTCCACGCCGGAGAAAAGGAGCGTTTTGGTCGCTGGAGAGTAGTCCGGGATCATAAACTGACTGTTAGCGGCGAGCTAACGGTAACGCAGACACACACACACACTTACAGGGTTTTGGGCTGGTCATCGTCCATTCTGTGTCACTTGCTGGCCGAGAACAAGTCGCAACCCTGAGAGCAAATCCACGACTGTCGCGGGCAGCTGCCTGTGACACCGTCGAGTTATTTTATTGCGCAGTATGAACAGATTTACCACCGCCGCTAGCTCCACAGTGAACAATGGGTAGCCGACAAAGATGGCGGAGCGACCGGGGGCCGACACGAAACACGCATGCGCAGTAGTTCAACCAGAGGCTAACTTGTAGGCTTTATTACAAAAACAACTGCCGGCTGAAAAAATTCATTTAAGTTTATTTATTTATTTACATTTTTCTTTAAAGAATGTGAGCTGTGATTGACAGCGAGTGAGTGTGCTGCTTTTAATGTATTTTTTTTTTTTTTTTTTAAATTGTTTACATGCCTTAAGGGGGAGTAATAGATTACATGTAGCTGAGTTACGTAATCAGGATACAACAACAACATAGGTAACTGTAATCTATTACAGTAACAAAAAGAGGAAGTATGTAATCAGATTAGTTACATTTAGGGAACATTTTGAATTATTTGGCAGGATTAAACTTTTAAAATACATTTTTTATGCTATTTCTTTTATTTTTTAATCTTTTTAATGGTTAAATTGCTCTTTTGTCTTCTAAATTACACTTTAATCAATACCTTTTGTTGACATTTATTTTCTCTTGTTTTTATTTACACACTTGTAATCCAAAAGTAACAGAAAGTTACTTAAATATTGTGATTCTTGGATGAGGTTACTGACTACATTACCCTGATTATTTCCTATTTCCTTATTTATTTTTTGTACTTGCACTGTGTTGTTTACTCACAACTGCCATTTTGTAATCAGGATGATACACATAATGTAATCTGATACGACTAATCAACTGTTTTGTGTCTCAATTACATAGAAGGATTATTAAGAATTATATTTAAGACATGAAACGTATAAACATATGGCGTGTCAGACTGTTTCCAGCCTTCCAGACTCATCACCATTTGTAATATCAGAGTCCCAGAGCTCCTCTGTAGCAAATTGTTCTTTATAGGAGGTAAATTCTGTACATCTTATTAATTAAAGCTGTAATTTGACCCTTAAACTCATGACAAAGTTAAAAAGTAGTGGACTCCGTCACTCCATCATCGCTTTACCGGCCTGTTTTACAATTAATGAGCTCGAGTTAAATCACATTTTCTTTTGCATATTTAAATCCTTTAATTCAGTTCTCAGCATCTGAAAAGGCAAATTCAACACTTGCAAGAGACCTATAATACCTTATTAGACCTTATTGAGATATTATTTATGGACCATGTGCAGATTCACTTAAATTTCTTTATGTAATATCTAATTACTGTACAATTACTTGTGGGCCTGCATTTAAATATTTAAAAACATTACAGCTAAAATGTACCTTACTGTATATTAAGGAGCTTACATGTATGGTGTGCGTCTCGTAGTTTCATTAAGTATCACATAGGTTTTAGAGTAATTTTTTATTTTTTAACACGTCTGAATGAAGATTTTCGTTCATTTAAAAAACATCAGTGGAATCAGCCCTTTACTGTAAAACCAGATAAGTTCATTCAACAACAAAAGAAAATTGTTGAAACCAATAACATCGAAACATTTTACTTAATTTTGTAGATTAAAAAAACATTCGTGCTCAATTAGCTTTGGTAATTTACGTGACACTGACATAACATTTTTATTTGTACTGTGATAACAAAATACAGAGTAAAAAGTCAGGAATGTTTCTTTAACTTATGAAACTAAGTTAGTGTCACTTAAAATTAAAAGTAAAAGCTGCTTAATAAAGAATATTTTTAAACTTACAAAACTGAGATTGTGTTACTTAAAATGTAGTTAAAATAACTTATCGTATTACAGTTTTCCAGATGTAATAACCACATGAAGTCAATCACAACAGAACCACCACAGTGTTTATAAAGTGCAGGAGGAGGAACGATGTAAACTGCTTTTAAAACAATAAACAAAATAAAAACCTGATTTATTGGTCACACCATGACACTTAAACATGTCCTTAATTTATTTTAAATTAATGACAAATACATAAATTACAATAATCTAAAAACAGAAGAAAAAAAGACAACAACTCCCTAGTAAGTCCAGTGGTTTCCCTTCCTTCCTGCGCCCTGATGCGGCGGTGGTGGCGGCGTGCTGCTCTGACGATTCAGTCCTGTGCAGCGCGGACAGCAGAGATGAGTCGAGCCCCAGTTTCTCCACTCAGTCGCTCCCTCATCTCGGGCAGATGTTGTGGTCGGTGACGAGTTTCTCCATCCTCTTTATCTTGCGTTTGTTCTTGGGCATCGGTTTGTCGTACATGCCGTTCTTCAGTAGATGCTCTTTGCTGTGATGAATCTGGGCGCCGTGCTGCAGCTGGAAGGAGCACAGGGCCTTCAGGGGCCTCAGCAGAACCTGGACATAGATGGACAAAAGGGAAGAGGGATTAAAAATACAAGATATATTCTACTTTATATATATATATATATATTTATTCTACGGCAACGTCTGAGTGGTCAGGTATTCTTAAGAAGTAATTTTCCAGGAGCTTTTCTTGACTATTCAAGACAACATTTGCTCACAAACGATCCCCCCTACTAGTCCTTTAAAGTTTAAGAAAAGTAAATGAAATTGTTATTTTTTTTAAAGCTTAGGTTATTATTCAAGATATAAACTCTGTCGACCTCCACTGCCTGCTGAACAGCCTCGTCCTGCATTAGAAACAAAACGACCAAGCTTTACGGGGAAAGAAACACCGAATTCGTCAAAAGAAAAAAAGTATTTATAATTAAATTTATATTATTAGAATAATAAGTGTAAAACATTTACACAGTTATCAGGAAATAATCTGCTCAAAACGAATCAAAATCGCTTTTTTCCTCCCAGTTCTTACTGTTATTGTTTGAATATAATATTAAATATCCATAAAATATGTCACAGTCAGTTTACTCAATAATAGAAAAGGTTCTGAAAAGAAAAAGGTTGGGAACCACTGATATAATGTACCAGTAAGCCTATTATTGACTTAAAGGTTAATGTAGGCAAAAATACAATAAACATGTTTCAGGACAATATGGATTATTTCCAGGCTATTTGATCACTTCAATCAGTTACCAGGTTTTCCAGGATACATGGGAACTCTGAATATGACTTTACTGATTTCACACTTCTGTAATGTTAAAGCTGCTTTAATTAACAATAGATTAAATTACAACATATTTTGTCGTTAAGCCTGCGCCCTTACTGTTTAGGTTCAGTGTTACGGCTCTCATCAGCCTCATTTCCAGACACAGGCAGCTGACAAACCCACTGAGCAACACCAGACAGCACCAACCAGCAGACAGACACAGTTTAGCAGCTAGCTGCTGATAATAATACAGCCGAGTGTTGTTTCTGCTGGCCAAAAATATCTGTTACTGCTAATTTAATGGCACAATAATGGTAATTATTTCACTACGTCACCTCTTGGATGTCGTCATTCTGCTCCAGGATGGAGAGGGCGACAGCAGCACATTCCAGCGTGGACAGACAGATGTTGGAGGGTTGCGTGCGGATCACATACTGACTGGACAGAGTCCGGTTGAGCTGGACCTGGTAAACCAAAGCACAGGTGATGAGCAGTATGAAATTAAAGTTACAATCCTTTATTACATTTCTTTAAATCAACGTCATTTATTATAAACCATTCCTGTGCTGGATTCAAACTGCCTTCACGTGCACGAGGGATTCACAGAGGACGAGGCGAGCATGTTTAATCCAGCTTTACTGTTTTTAATTAGTCTAATTGATATCAGCCTGGCTGTTGACTCTCCTAACAGCCGTATCAGAGCTGCGTTACATTACTGCCAGTGCAAACAGAACATTTCCAACTCCTGCTGCTTCACATTAAAAAATGAACTTGTGAAAATGACTTGTGAAACAACAGCCGGCTAGAATTGTAAAGCAGTTTTAGAAACACAGCTTATTTTAGTGACAGATTTTAGAGCTACTGGAACTGTTTTAAATACTGGAGGAAGTAGTGGAACAACACATGACACCTTAAGCTTCTCAGCATGGAAGCTGTGCCCTGAATACTTCTTACTTTGTGTCCTCTATGTTCTCTTGCTGAGTTTTATTTATTTTAAAGGCCCCAAACTAGGGACAGGCGTTGGGAATTAGCTTAGGCTATAAATGCTGTGGTGTGTGGTCCTCTACAATAAAATAAACTAATCAGTTAATTATAAGCTGATATTCTGCTGTATTTCTGACATAAAAAAAGCTACTAAAAGTGTTTTTCTGTAGTATTGAACCTCATTTGTTGTTACCACTAGTACAAACAGGATTTAAAGCTCAAGAATAACAACTTTAGGTTAGAATTGTACCTCGCACACATATAAAATCAGCTCTGAAGGGTTTGCTAAAGCATCTCCACTCTAACCCTGTGGTTTCTGGTCATGTG